TATTCATAGAGTCACACCATACACTCTATCCAATACTACTCATGCATAAAATACAATCCACCAATCATGAAGTCAAACACCACACTTCATCATATTAATAATCATGCAATAAATGCATCTCATGACAGATATCAATGCATATCAATCATCTAATGCGTCGTCACGCATACACCTAGGAGATCTCCATAACAATAGAGTTGTATAAGTGACATCCCATCCTACCGAAACCACCCCAACCGTTTTCATGCCCAATGCGCCCGCTCGGTCACAACTAAACAGGATATAATCCTCACTCGGGTTTACTCGGATGATGTCACTTACACACTTGGAATTCCAGATCCACCGTCAAGTATAGCACAACTAGGTACGGGCTTACCACGACCTTGACATGCATAACCAAGTCAATAGTGGAGTTCAGCCACCGACTATCCGTAAGGATCCACGCACCTTCCCGAGTACTTGGTTAAGGGAATAACCCTCGACCTCATACCCCGCTCCAACACTAGCTAAGGACTTAGAGGAGACTCACCCAACCCAGTCGCCTATCTGAGCACCACTCTCCCAAATTCAGTGGCCTCCCAGAGCACCACTCTCATATATCAATGGCCTATCCAAGCACCACTCTCAAGAGACTCTATGTGAGCTCTTCCATTTCGAAAATATTTTTCCTCTCCTCAAGTCCTAGGCTAGACTCATGCCATAGGCATCACATACAATCATGCATCATACATCATAATGGTCTTCCCACCATCATGATCAACAATCATACACATGTCATAAGACATCACATGCAATAATGCATCATACATCATAAATGGTCTACCTACCATTATGATCAATAAACATACTCATATGAATATATACACATGTCATATCATATTCAAACATTCATACGTATCATCACAAAACATACATATTGTACTATCCGCATCGCCGCGCCGAGCTCGAGCTCGGCAATTACGGAGAACGACCTCAGACGCACATTGCATGACGTCAGCTTAGCGCTTAAATAGATCATAACTAATCTCAGGAGATCTCGGTCTAGACGAGATCCGCTATCCAATCATATCATATCTTATCTAAGGCACAAGGCCCAATGCAACCCTAACTCACACTAAGGTACGTGCATTACTTATATGAGACTCATACTCATACAAACCCTAACTTTAGCATCGGAGTCTCTTTGGCAGGTACCACCCCCATCTTGGAACATCAAGCGTACCAGCGAAGAAGGCTCACCAATCTTACTCGGAGAATCATCCCTACGGCAGATTTTCGGTAAGAACATTTGGCGCCCACCGTGGGGCCGATCAAGACAGCTCCTATCGGCCACGCTTATGGTATTCACCAGAAGCCATAGCAGGCGCACAACAGACGACGTAGATCACTCAACCACCATGGACAACGAAGCAACATTGAGGAGACTGATCGACTAGGTCGAACAGATGCGACAACAACATGACGCCAATCTGCGAAACATGTGTGCCCAGCACGAAACTGACCTAGCAGCAATGCGAACTGCCAATGAAGCTGACCTAGCGGCGCTACGCGCTGAAAACGAGCGGATTCGCGCCCAGCTCCCTTGACGCCCCTCCGATCATCCTTCTGAAGCAAGCAACTTCCACGAGGGAGAAGAGCATTCGGTCTCCCAGTCCTGGACTGCAACTAGGGCACCGACTCCACGACCTGCCTCGCATCGCTCTCATGTTCCGACGAACAAGTCGGCCCATGAAGTCAGCAAAGCCCCATCTCATGTCATAGGGGGTCAAGCAACCTTCCGCCGTCATCCCTTTGTGGACGGTATCATGGAGACACCACTCCCTCAAGGGTGGAAGCCTCTCCACCTCGACCGCTTTGATGGCATAACGGACCCCGATGAGCACATCGACCTGTATACGACACAGGTGAACCTCTACACTAACAATGATGCTATTTTATGTAGGGTTTTTCAGACCTCGCTCAAGGGGGCCGCACTCAACTGGTACACCCAGCTCCCCGCTGAGTCGATCGACAGCTTCAACACTTTGGTCAGGCGGTTCACAGTGCAGTACGAAACGAGCCGACCTCACCACATCACCTCTGACGCCCTGGTCGGTCTCAGACAGAATGACGATGAGCCACTCCGGGCATTCATGGAGCGATTTGCCACAATCTCGGTCAAGATCAAAAATCCGAATCCCGAAGTCGCCCTACATGCCAGGCTCATGGCACTCAAGCCCGGGCCATTCGTCGACAGCCTATGCCGCGAGGCTCCTTGCGACATGGACGAGCTCCGCGCCCGTGCTACAGGCTACATTCAGATGGAGGAACACTCCACATTCCGTGACCAAGTTCGTGGAAAGGGTCCAATGAAGCCAGAACAGGGTCACAAGGACAAGGTAAAACTCAACAACGACAGCCAGTTCAAGAAATTGGCTAGAACAAACAGAGGGGGGAGATATAACTTTTATACTCCCCTGAACATGCCCAGGGTGCATATCCTGGAGGAGGCCAGTAACAACAATCTACTCACTCTGCCACCGCCAAGTCACACCCCTAACAGCGCCGACAAGTCCAAGCACTGTCGGTACCATAGAAATCACGGTCACACCACGGAGGAGTACCGCTCACTTCAGGACCGTATTGAAGAACTCATCCAAGCAGGCCATCTCGGCCAATATGTTCAGCGACAGCAGGGACACCGAGGAGGCTATGGTGGACGCGAACTGTAACGCCCAATTTATATAATAATAATGATATATTTCTTATATAATATTTTCGCAAATATATCGTTAACAATATATTTTTTTTATGGATAAAGATAAAGAAACAGAATATTTTGTGAATTTAATACATAAGTATTTATAATAATGTATTATTTTACACAATATTTCTTTCTTTCACTTCTATTACAAACTTTACATTGATAATAGAAATAAATTTACAATAACAATTATAATAGATTCATCAAATAGCTTCCACATTCCAATTTCTTCCAAGAAAGACAACAACTATAATCACTGCAAAATGCTCTGGAATCCCAAGTAGATCCATCTATTTTATAATATATTTAATTTTAAAAACAAAGAAAAGAGAGGAGTAAGAACAATATCCAATAAATACAATAATTCAAAAGAATATAAAGAATTATTTATAATCAATATTAAACATATATATATATATATATATA